GGCCTTTTGAGTTTGGCCTAGTACAAATATGAGCAATTGAATACTTTAGGCTATTTCCAAGTTGCCTTTTGTCTCTGTGTCAAAACAAGTCTTCATGCTGAACCATTCATATGAAATGTGTTCCACCAACACGTTCATTTTCATGCAAATCAATCTCATTTTCATATGAATGGTTTTGCCTGAAGACTCATTTTGAAACAGAGGCACAAAGTAAATCAGAAATGGCCTATTGATTTATACTTTATAAATAGAACTGTTAAATTAGCTCACTTCCATTTTCTTCAGTTTCATTATTGGCAACCAAGCTCGTTACTGGTGTTCAAAAACCCAGGAGGAAAGGAAGAAAGCAACCTGCGAACAATATGCTAAGATGTTCGACAGTGAAGAGGCACTTCAACCATATCATTATGTCGACAAGAACTGGCCGGCAGAGAAGTATTCTGGGGGATGTTATGTCAGCATCATGCCATGCGGTGTAATGACTCGCTTTTGCAAAGTCTTACGTGAACCAATTGGTCGAGTATACTTTGCTGGTACTGAAACTGCTACAGTTTGGTCGGGTAAGAAAATATGCGAGACTTTCTATGCTACAGAACAAGAGATATATAAGATGACACTTCAGATTGTCCTCTAGGTGCAGTTTGAGATTTTAATAATTTAAGGTGCGAGTCTAGTTGCAGGCTAGGTTTTTGCCAGTCATTATAGAATGTGGAAAACTGACATCAGTCTTTAATGACAGGGAAACTTATGGGGTGCATTGCTAAATATTATACTCAAGGCTTTTACTACTTCAACAGTGTATGTTGACATTCCTTTGGCCCGTCTTAAAGTTTTTAGAGACTCTTCTGCCACAATACTATTAGCTGACTTGCCACAATGGAGAGACCTTGCGTAAAAAAATTTAAATATTTGCAGAATTTCCCTTGATTTTGATGAAAAAATTTCCACAAACCCTTAACAAGCATGATACTGTAATGGGTCAATAAAGCAAGTCCCTTTGTAATAAAAAAGCTTTTCTCAATGTCTGTTATTTATCCATAGGTCTGCAATGTGTGCAGAGAGAAAGATAATGTTCTTTAAGGTCTCAAAATGTTTCTAACATACATAACACCTGCTTGGTAGGTTACATGGATGGTGCAGTTCAGGCAGGGGAGAGAGCTGCAAGGGAGGTGCTCCATGCAATGGGGAAGATAACGGCAGAAGAGATCCACCAAATTGAGCCACCGTCAAAGGAAGTCCCCCCTGTTCCTTGCCAACTGACGACATTTCAAAGCTGGCTGCCCACTGTGCCCATGTTTCTTACCACTGTAACAGCAATTGCCGCTTTAGCTGGTGGCCTTTCATTGCGACATTTCTTAAAATGAGAAACAAGTAGATAGGAAACTTGTGAAATATATAATCTGTATTATTTAGAACTGCTAAATACCCAGCTCTCATTTCACAAGTATTGGTCAAAAAAATACTCTCAAACAGTCAGATAATGAAAGTACCAAATTTATTTATTCTTGAAACAA